GAGCAGCAGCAGCCCCATATTGCCCACTTGCTACAGGCCAGTCCAGAGCTGGCTGTCGGAGTCAAGGACGGCATTTCAGCAGCGGTTGGCATGGCCTTTGGTGAGCTTCAAGCCTGTGAGTCTACCCCGGGCTGGACCATGCTCTCCCTCGATTTCAAGAGTGCCTTCAACTACACCGACCGAGCACGGCTGCACGAGATTGTGGCCGACAAGGTCCCTGGCCTCTTGCGCGCCTTTGAACGACACTATGCTCGACCCACTACCCACTGTATTAGAGGCACAATCTGAGACGGTATACTTTACCACGTTGTGTGTCCTCTGGTACTTGATGTTGTCCCACCTTGTTGTGTAACATCTTGCTGTGCCATCTTGGTGTATCATCTTGTTGTGGCATCTGTTGGTCCCAACAGATTGCTGATATCGCCTCCACCTGTCTTCAGTGTGATAGTCCATTCTCTGTCTCCACTGTGTGTGTGTGTTTCCACCTGCTATAAATGGGAGCGATCTCCCTGGATCGGTACCATTTTCCTTCTTGACCTCGGTCGTTCCACTTCCCTCCTTCTGTCTTGTTCTGTCTTGTTCCTTCGCCTTGCTTCAATCCATGTTCTCGTATGCACTTTGATTGGTTGGATACCTCTGTGACAATCGCCTTGTCCACACACATTACACTGTACTGGACATACACCTTTAATAGGTTATGGGCCTCGGTTGTGTACTCTTCCAACCTCTCTTTCGTTGCCCTGCCTTGCGCTTTCCAGCTGCTCCGTTCCCCTCCTGCTTCCTCCCTGTGTCTTCTGCTCGCTGTGTATTCTGCTTGTATTGCGAAAACGTTTCAAAATCATCGAAAACCTCTTTGTTCTCTTTGTTTCGAGTGCAAAATTGTCATACTTTTTTGTTTGTTTGCTTGCTTCCTTGCTTGTTCTTTTTTTGTTGTTGTTGTACCTTTCCCCTCCCTTGATCATCGCCACCATGCCATTTAGTGTTATGCATACTCCTGTTGACCAGCGAGTCACTCGTAGCCGTGGCGCTGTGCAAAGCGCTGCTCGCGCTGCTGCCACCAGAAATTTTGAGGCTCACACCGACCTCACGCGCGACTTCCAGCACGAAGAAGATCATGCCGAACCCGACGCTCTCGATTGCTTGGTCAACGAGCATGAGGAAGAGGAAAGGCCGAAAATGGCCGCCACCGGGTCGCACCCGGCCACGCCTTCGACAGGAGCCGCTCCCGTCGAGGCTACCGCGAGCGCTTCTCGCCATGCCGCAAGCGCCGCCGCCACATCAGCCGCCGCCGCGGGCCCTGGATCCCCCCGCAACAATGACGCCGCCGTGGCCCAGGTCCACAGGACCCTGCAAGCCCTAGTGCACTCTCTAGGCTCTCAACATCAGCTCCAATCGCAGATTGCCGAGCTTGAACGCGAGATAAACGCTGCCCTTCGGCTCATCCCGGACAGGGGCCGCTC